TTTAGGGTTTGGGGTTTAGGGCCCGGTGCTTCTTTGGGGTTCAGGGTTTAGGGTTTGAGGACGGCTTAGGGCCTAGGGTTTGGGGTCCAAGTGTTTGGTGTTGATTGGTGTATTTTTCGGTATGCATAGGGTAAGAGGGAGTTGGGTTTTGGAATTCAGTGGGAGTGGTTTCTGAATCGAGCGGCATCCGAGCTTGTGCGATGATGTGGTTGCGGTATGGAATGCTTTTCAGATTTGTTGCGTATGATCGCTAAACCCCTGTGGACAGCAAACCCAACACATCTATCCAGAAACCACTGAACACAACAATTTAGGTAAGAGATGAAATGCTTGTATGTATCCTTCGATCCACGACCCGGCTGTGCAACTGGTACTTTTGACGTAAACACTGCTAGTGCTTGAAGGTTCATGGTCACCTGTAAACGATGATTCTAAGCATGGTCATTGGGGTTATCGTTTATAGCTCCCAGTGTAGCTACCCTCATTGGAGATACCCTCAACCCTGACCCTAAACCCTAAATCCTACACCGCGGGGGCCCTAAACCCTAAACCCTAACTCCTAAACCGTGGGGGACCTAAACCCTAAACCCTAAATCCCAAACCGTGGGGGCCCTAAATCCTAAACCCTAAACCCTAAACCCTAAAACCCTAAACCCTAACCCTAAACCCTAAAACCCTAAACCCTAAAACCCTAAACCCTAAACCCTAAATCCTAAATCGTGGGAGGTGGAGGTGACAGGTGTGCAGGCAGGCATGCAGCCTCGGCCAAGCTGGCGTTCAGTCTAACCTTTGAGCAGACGGAAAAGGGTTTTGGGTTTAGGGGTTAGGGGTTAGGGTTTTGGGTTTTGGGTTTAGGGTTTAGGGTTTAGGGAGAGAGAGAGAGAGAGAGAGAGAGAGAGGGTTCAGGGTTTGCTGGAGGGTTTACGCGCTGTCTTGTGGAATTTCCCGGCTGCTTGCAAGAGTCCTGGATGCAAAAGGGTTCAGGGTTTAGGGACCCCTAAGCCCCCTAAACCTTAAACCTAAACCAGAAAGCCCTAAACCCTTAAGCCCTAAGCACTACACCCCTGAACCCCTCAGCCCTAAACCGCCCGGTGTAGCTACTGGAGGTTCATGGACAGTTATAACTGGAGTCAAAGGTCATCCAAAATGGGTTATAGCCATAGTTATCCTGCTGACAGCCGTATAATAAATAACCATGAAGCTCCAAGTGGATGAACCCCTAAACTTCCTAAACCCTGAACCCTATAAAGCCCTAAGATTCACCATGAAAACTCCAAGTATCCTAAACTTATAGTACCTTTTAAAGGAACCCAATTATAGAACCCTAAATCTCGCGCTTCAATTACTTGGGTGAGTTGCCCGACCCGCCTGCTCGCAAGACCCGAGCCAAAGCTCCCCCCCTAGGTTAAGGGTTTAGGAGTTTAGGGGTTTAGGGTTTAGGGTAAGTTCGTCAGTGGAAAGGGGCTGGATGTGGATTTTATGACCCTGAAGATGGTGAATCAAGGGCTTTCAAGCTTCAGTTCGTGCTTTCGTTGAACCAGCTTAACTTATCTTATTGCGACTTGGATTTTGAGCCAATCTGCGCTTACATGGACTTTAGACCCTATAAGCCTCAAATCCGTAGAGTGTTGCAGCGCTGAGGATCGACGGAACCTTGGCGAATTCTGCTTTGATGCACCTCCTGGTGCGCCTGCTCAACAACAAGGCCAGGAGGTGGTCGAGTGCTATGTGTGTGTGTGTGTGTGTCTGTCACTGCTTACGTCCACTATAGTGTTTATATCTTATATATACATATATGTACATTATATAAATATATGGAGAGAGACAGATAGAGTGTGTTGTAAGAGTTTATACGCTTTATAATGCTGTGCGCCAGGCTTCTTTCATGCTATGTACGCCTATAAGCACTATTCATATGAGAGTTTCTGAAAATATGGGGGTGGGGCACCTTATTTTGGGGTCCTATTCTATAAGGATCCTACTATTTAGGGTCCTATATTAGGGCCCCCTCTTTTCGGAAACGCCCATATGTTACTGGGCCCTGACCTCTTCAAACCCGACAAGCCCGAAGCTCGAAGTCCTAGTTTTCTGGCCGCGAGCCTTAGTCACCAAACCCTATATCTTAGGAGCCGAGTAGGTAAACTTTAAACTTTTTGGTATATTAAACCCCCTACTAAAAGAAAAGTTTAAACTTTTTGGGGCCAGGGTACTGGGCTTCAAGGATATAGCCTCGAGGCTAAACCCGTTAGTTCAAACCTTGACAGCTCTGCTTGGTTAGACTGTCTGAGTCTTGATTGTTTCCGTCTCCGGTAAGCAATTTAGACTCTCCCTCTCCCTCTCTCCGGCTCTCTCTCTCTCTCTCTCTCTCTCTCTTTCTCAACTCGTGCTGATTCACTCGCCCGCATTTTGCTCCTTTCGAAAGCGACACGGTTCACTGATTCAGGTGGCAAGACCAGTGCTGTGAAAGTTTGCAGTCAGGGCCGGCGCATTTAGGTTTTTTGGGGTTACGGCTCAACTCCAAAAGCTCTTAAATTGTGAGTTCCTCCCGCACTCCCCGAACACGGAGCCCTAAACAGCGCACCAGAGGCTCAGAAAGCTAATCCCCAAGACAGGATCTGAGAGCCATAGGGGTAGTTCTCTCAACTAGTATCCCTTTTTAAGTCCCCAATGTAGCACGGCACCCTTATAAAAAGGACCCCCAAGCGACCCCAGCTTAACATGGCGGCGCAAAAGTTGATCATCGAAGGCTTCGAAGCCGTCAGGTTTCGTATCCCGAGGAAGGGGACTTACCACCACTGTGCGGGCACCTTGAAGCACTACGACGGGGTCGTGTTGAAGCTCCATGCAGGAGGCTTTACGGGACTTGGAGAGCTGAGCATGCTCTTTCCAGATCGCACAGGCACCACACCCGGCACCGCCCTCGACATCTTCCAAAACTATGTCGCTCCGAGACTTATTGGCCAAGATGCTCTGACCATGAAGAAGACTTGGGGCAACTTGGTGAAGCTTGGCTCAGATGCACATGCCTTCCCTTACCATCGGGCAGCGGTGGATGTTGCCGTTCACGATCTCGCCGCGAAAGCTTTAGGCGTGCCCGTGTATCAGCTCCTAGGCTGTGCAGTCTCTTCGGTTTAGATTGAGCACCTCGAGCCGGATTCTTGCAACTAGGGTTGGTTGCTTCTGTCTACTTCAACGATGACAATGTGCTGGCCTGAATCAGCAGTTGAGAGGGAGGGAGCAGCGAGGGACGGAGGGAGTGAGTCAGGAGTCAGTGCATCAGAGAGACAGTGGGTCAGTGAGCCAGTGACAGTGTTCGTGTGCTCCTGTTGCTGCACTCGGAGCGAGGGGAAAATGAGTTCTTCGCCTCGGCGCTCCCTCTGCATCTACTTCTTCCCAATCGAAGGTACATCAGCTTCGTACCTCGGAGAAAGGCTGCATCTACATGCTGGCCGCCACCCACAGGAAAGGAAGGTCACGACACGTTCCGCCTCCCCCCCGCCAAGTCCAAGCCGCGTAAGAAAGAAGAAGAAGGACAAGAAGAAGAAGAAGCAGATGGCAACAAATAAGTATAGTTAAAGGGAGACAGAAAGAGAGAGAGAGAGAGAGAGAGCGAAAATTCATCGGATCTGCACGGTTTTCAAAGATAGAGAGACAGAGTACACGCGCTCTGGGACTTCAGAAAATCTGAGGCTCATTGGCGAGAAACCGACCTGCCCTCCGGAAGGTGGCATGACAGTGGGAAGAAGCATAAGCACCGCTGGCGGCTCACTCGTGCCGACAGCGTTGCAATACCTTGCCAACGACTCTCGACGGCCATGAACGTGAAGTTTCTGTCCGCCTGGAGTTGTTTGAAAGTTCAGTTGACTCAGGAGTATAATGGGACTCGTAGTAGTTGGCATGGACAGGTGTTGTGGTCGTAGTGGTCGGTGGTCAGGATGCGGTTGTCAGGATGCGGAGAAGAAGGAGGAGTTGTAGCAACGGTGCCTTGTGCCGGGAATCGGGAACCGTTATTTTGGCGAGTCATCCTGGTAATCTTGGTGCGGGCAAGATGGCGGTAATCTAGGTAATCTTTCGCTGCTTGCACGCCAAGATTACCAGGATGACGCGTCATCTTGCCCGCACACCGCCCGACCCGGCTTGACGGTTCTGCTTTCCCGGCACACTGTAATAGTAGTTTGTCGCTGTTGTAACAGCGGCAGCAGCAGCACCAATCGAAGCAGGCGTGCTGCAAAGATTCCCGGAAAATCCATTTTTCAACAGACTCAGGCCAACGCCCGTAAACCAAAATACAGCGATCTCTGTCAGGTTTTTGTCAGCTTCCAACAAGCTCCTAAGGACAACTATTCCAGCTTCATAGTCAAAGGCAGCGACAATGTTGACGAGGATGTTGAGCATTTCAAAGAGCTTCGAGAGGTGCTTGGACCGGACTTCCCCTTGGAAATTGATCCGAATCAAGCATACACCGTTCACGAAGTTTGCGCAGCAATAGCAAAAAGTTTCATTTAGGTTGTTTCGTGAAGTTAGTTAGTACTCTTCAACTGTCCGTGGCGTGCGTCCCGCTGTATGGGGCGTGACCACAGTGTTCATATCTTTTCGTCGCCAGCGCAAGGATGCCATCAGGGTAGTCAAGGCGTTGGAAAGCCACAATCTCGCTGTGCTTGAGTCTTGCATGGAGTTTGGTAGGCCTTTTGAATTTTCACTTCTCGCAAGACACTTGCATTGCCTCATCTAATTACACGAAGCTGCACAGTGAAGGAGCAGCCCTGTGCATGGTGGGACATGGAAGGATTAGCTCAAGTGCAGGCAGCCGCACAGGAAGTGCCTGCGACTAGGTGCCAATTTTGTCACTTTTGGTTCGCTCGTGTTCGCGTTGATCCGCATCTAATGTTCGAAAATTGTTCATATCATCAAGAACATCATTCCAGTGCTGGCTAACTTCCTTGGTACTTGTGATAAGAGTTTCCGCAACTTTGTTTCTCTGTCAGTTTTGCACTTAGGTGGTCGTGGATGAGGGGGCCATTTTCCCTTGGGAAATTCGCCGAGTGGCTCAGATGAAGGCAGGTCGTGGAATCACGCTGAAGGTTGCGCACGGTGGCCTCACTGGGTGTTCCCTAAATTACAAGACGGCCGTGGAAAATGGGCTCTTCTGCTACTTGGATGTGTGAAGTAAAGCAGATCCTTTGCAAGCGTATCCCATGCCCCATTACTGGATGTGCTCCTGCCACATTGCCGACAGTCATCCGGAGATCATGCGCACTCCATGAGGCAATGTCGGCTCCAAGCATACCATGGGAGTTGGCACGGCAGCCATTGCACATTTCTGCGCCGCGCACCCAGGCGGCCGTGTCTTCTCGATGTAGAACAAATGGCAATGTTACAAGGTTCGTCGAGACCTACAGAACACCGCTGTTTGTTCTGCTCTGGGTTTCACATGATGTAGCAACGGTAACATCGGAGCATGAATGGTTACCTATATTTGTCCTTAGGGTTCCTTAAGGAAGTATACTATAGAGGGGCGCAAAAGGCTAATCTTAGGTTAATGTCGGTTTGTTACACTGCAAGGTCTGTCGGATATTGTGTTGTGTCCGACCCTGACTGTGAATCAGACTTGAATTGTGCTGCAGTTGCTATAATCTCTGTCGCTGAAACTGTCGGTTGCTGACCCGTTGACCTATGGCCGTAAGATCTAGCATCTGCTTCTCTTACCACTGAATCTACACTGCGGTACACGTGGCCATTGAGAAAACGCCGTCTGGGTCCTTCTGAAGCATCGGAGTCGTAGGCACTGGAATGTGGTTCCCCCAAGCGAAGCAGATTCTTGGCGCAGGAACCACCCAGCCACGGAATCACAGAGTACAAAGCACCGGGCAACAACACTAACCGGCATCCTGCTTTTGAGGGTTTTTCTGAAGACGGCCATGAGGTTTAGGATGGCAAAGGAACAAAGACTAACCAGCATCCTGCTGTTGAGGCTAAAGACAACCATGAGGTTCAGGATGGCAAAGGAACAACTACTAACCGCATCCTGCTGTTGAGGGTTCTTCTAACGACAGCCATGCGAGGTTTAAGGTTTAGGGGATCCGCTGTTGTGAAGTGTTGAAGAAGCCTTGAATCAGGAGTTTACCAGCCCATCGGTTACGGCTCGCCCCGTGAGCGGTTCATTGACGACATCATCAAAGGCGGCATCAACTTCCACGAAGGCTCCGAAGTGGAGGGCGAATAGGGCCTAAACCCTAAACCCAATAGGGCCTATAGACCCTAAACCCTAAACCCAATAGGGCCTAAACCCTAAACCC